ATATATATATCGGCCGAAAATGGCACTTTTGGCATATGCCGAAAGTGCCATTTTCTGGGCGATACAGCGGTGCATCCATTCTTTCTCTCCTCCCCGCTGGGCGCTGCTCTGTGTCCCAGCGGGGAGGAGAGAAACTGTCACAGGCGGCCGAGCTCTACGGGAGGAGAGTGCTGTGAATGGTCGGCGTCTCTCCTCCCCACACCGCTCGCTAAGCATTCTGTGACAGCTGTCAAGAAGGAGAGCGGTACAAACACTCAGCGATCAGTGATCTGAGTGTTTGTAAATAATTGACATAGCATGTTGACTATATCCCCAATTATGAATGAATGGGAAGTGATCTACATCACCGCCTGTTCATTCACGATTGTTGTTATAGTAAACACCCTATGTCCTCATGTTATGAATGAACAGGTCCACTCAGTATAGAGGATTCCTGTTCATTTATAACTGGGGATGCAGAAAAAGAGATTGAGGGCTCTGCCCTCAATGCCTTTTTCTATTTTAAAAGGGAAATATTAGGGGTCTCTTTTAAAATAAATACAAATAAAATATATTTAATTTTTTTTTTAAAGTTAAAGAAAAAAACATTTTTGGTTTTGTTCTGACACTTTTTTTAATTTCAGTTTCGTTTCGGTTTTGAAATTTTCATTTCGGCGCACCTCTAATAATACTCTATCCACAACAACAACAAAAGGTTTTGGCTTCAGTTGCACTTTAAGCCTACGATAAGATCCTGCAAATGTGACTTTGTGGCCAATGAGCAGTGGAATATCTACAGAGCCATATAGTGCAGTAAAACAAACAAGTTTTATATGTATAACATTTCTTATACTTTAGATTACGCTTACATCAAAAGTACACCTCTAGCATTAGATTTGGGAGCAGTGCCTTTTCAGTTTGAAACAGTGTTTCTACAGAGGAAAAAAATCTTATATTCCCTGTGCCATTTGCATTTATATAGACAGCAATGAGCTCATATGCTATCACTAATGATCTCAGGAAGTTACCCCGAGAAAGCCTGCACAGGTCCCCTTTGTAGTGCATATTTCTGATGCACACAATAGCTCAGTGGGCACTGGAGTAGTAAAGTGAATTAAACATGTGGTGACTCTTTGGATTCAGGTCAATGAATTGCTTGCAACCCTGGTCCCTTTATTGTCCACTTTGCTGCAGGTCTGATTTTTGCACAAACTACTAATGTATTAAATGGCAATATAGATATAATTTGCTGTACATGTCTTGTAGATCATGAGTGGTCTTTGATATAAATTAGAGGCTTAAAATCTAAGAATGTGTAATTGAAATTTTCCATATGAAAGTCACAGTTTAAACAGAGTTTGTGGAGCAGAACCCACTGAACACTGAATAGTGACCTCAATGAGACACCTACTGTGCCTAAAAGGATTCTGTCCTTTGAAAAAAGCCTTGTGTTGTAAGTTATCTCCTATTGCTAAAGGATTATCATAACAAAAGGTCAATAAAATGCATTTCAAACGAACTAAAAACTTCATATAAGTAGACTAGTAGAGAAAGTTAGCATCAAATGTATTTGAGGTAGTGATGGAACTTTCACTCAGTCCAGAATTCTTTTTACCAGAGTTTTATATAGCAAAGTATCATAGAAAGACACACTATAGTCATATAGTCATTTCTGTGCATGCCTATGAAGAGATTATGATATCTGACAAGTACCCTATAGTCATCATTACATACATTTACAGAACATTTGAAAGATATAGTAAATTGTAATACACAAACAAAAGCAAATAAATCATTTATTTTGGTATATGCTTCAATCTGAATAAAATGTTTAAAGAAATTCTGTCCGCATTTGAAGAAAACAGATTTTAGAGAAGATACTAAGCCAAGATGAGAAGTCTCTATGATCTCATTGCAGGTGTGGATAAAGATGCTAAGAGACCCATGGGTGATTAATTCTATAAAAAACACTTTGGGTAATGGGTCATGGTTACATTTGGATTTCAAAGGTAAAAGTCACACATAGAAGCTCCCATTTTATATAGAAAAGCTGTGAATAGCCTGTATTAAATGTAGAATTTTTTTTTTAAAGAAGGTCTCCAGGAAATCTAAGAATTAACCCTGGCAGTGGGACTCCCCCCATACTGCACGGGTTAACTGCTCCTTTTTTTCTAGGGACTAAAATAAGAATATATACTTACCCAATCCTCGGTCCTGCTGCAGTCAGCGCTTACTTCTCTCCCTTCCACTCTGGTGATGGAACAAACCTTGGCATACTCACGTCTAATGAGCTTGTATTAAACATGGTGATGTTGCGGGTCCTTAAACTGCTGGAGCAGTGTGGAGAATGAAAATGTCATTTTGTGACACTTCAAATAAAGTTTTGCAAAAAGAAAAAAAGAAAACAGTGCAATGCGCTATTACAGTGTGTCACACCACCCCTCACTGTCCCTACACATAAAAACTCCAGCCTGCATGTTTTAGCGTGTGGGATGGTGTTAGCCTGCCCTCAACATATCACCTGTTCACCAATCCCTACCTAAAACAAAGGAATATAAAAGGTCCAAAATATATTTTCCAAATGCTGCCACCATTATTATGTAGTTCCCTAAATATGACTTCCACTTGAGCACCTGTCAAAGAGAAGTCTCAAAGGTCACAGCCTCAGAGCTCACCAGTGAAACGTACTCCAACTAATTAGAAATATTCGGAATAATTAGCTGAAGCTCATTTTCAAAGGGCTCTGTAGTCTAGCTGGAAGTCACAGTACAAAGACCTGTAACTGGGGGCTGAACTGAACTCACTAGGGACTGCTGCCCACTGACCTGAAGGAGAATGAAACAAAAAAAAAAGGGTCAATTAAACACCAGGGACTGAACATTCCAGAAACATAAGCGGCCCCTTTCCATATGTACAGGAGTAACTTTATACACAGCAAATGTCTGGTTAATACAGCAGTGAAATTTGAGCGGCCTATTTACGAGCCCCGGCACACCTTTTGTTCACCTTTCCCGTATCATCCCAGTCCTAACTTTCAGTTCATTGTTTAGTTTGAAATCAAACGCACAGCCACCATCAACCTCACTCACTATGTGTCAAAAAGACATATTTTCTAGACATTTCTTGTTGCCTACAGGTGAAAGAAAGATTTCAGTTCCTCCACCAATTATTTTAAAAAGAGTGTTTACATTTAAAAACCTATGACATCACAGGTTACACCTGAATTTACCGACCAGTAAAACATTCCCTCACAGGGCTCGATCAGACAACAAACAGTGCAATGTCTATAATACAAGTACAGCCAATGAAACATGGTTAGATTTCTCTCGTTCAGCCCGTTGGTGAAACAGGAGAGAAAGAATTATACAGTGAGAATAGAGGAATCTCCCCTGCCGGCCATTGTATACAGCAGCCGTGGCTACTTGAATAGCTGAACAGTGATTGAGTCTGATAAAACACAGTCAGTGTTTGGCTGATCATTTTCCACATGATTTTTAAATCGACTTTTGCTGAGCTGAATAGGGCTGACAGGGCCACCTATGACTCAAGTTTTGTCCAATTCAGCAGCAATCAATCAAAGTGTGAGCTGTATATGGCCAGCTTTAGTTATTTCCTGGATACTAAATACGTATGTAGATGCATGTATTTTAAAGAAGAGCCCCAGGGAACTTTTTTCTTAACACTTGCACTGGGGCTACCACCATGCTGACCAATCAGTGCTCGCCATTCGTGAGCAAGCAAAATTCAAAATCCATAGCGCAGGCCTGCACTACATGGCAGTACTGGTATGGATTGTACACCTGTAGTGGCAGAGGGGAAGGAACATTCGCTGAAAGGTAAGTATTATGGGGGAGGTCGGTTGAGGGGGACACTTGGGAAAGAGAACTTAGCCTTTAAACCATTTATACCATGTCTAAACCCAAAAATAAAAATGTTATTTATTGCATCCTACCAGTCCTTAGATATGGTGGCTGCATTAGTTTTAATTTTGCAGGCTAACAACATTTACAGCAAGTACAGAAAATACCTGTCGACCTGGCTAGCATGCATTGTCCTTGTCACCTCTTCTGAGCGTAAAGTAAGCAAAAGGAACTTTTTCCTTATTGTGTAATCTACTAGCCCCATCACCCACCATCTAATGGAGCTGAGCAAAGGTAGACCTATTTGAATTACGGCCTGTGTAACAACCATGGCTGCTTCCATAGATATAGTGGGAAAGAAAAAGTGTAGACATAAAGGAACAGGAAGTATGTTATTCACAGGATTACCAGGTAACAAGAAAAAAGCCAGAAAAAAAAGAAAACTAATGCAGCCAGCACATCTAAGGACTGGTAACTTGTATTATATTACATTTTTATTTTTGATATATTTTAATACCTGCTAGAGAGCCAAACTTTAGATTTCAAAGAGACACATGATGTAATTTGATAAAATGTACACAGATACAACGTCGGTATAGTAATCTTACTTACCATTACCACCTCTATTGCAGCTATTCTGCATTCTTTTGCAGAATTACAGCTACAGCTTAAATGCTAAGCATCTGACGCGTTTGGGTGGTGTCTCCCCACTAAAGGTCCACCCCACTGCCCAACCACTATGTCACTAGTGTGTCCCTGCAGCTCTAAAGGGACATACAAGTGATGAAGAAGTGGAGGAAGGTGGGAAGGGGGCACAGCAAGCAACAGGGGGGACACAGGCATCTAAAGCACCTGGGAGTGTCGGATGCCAAAATTTCTGCACCCACTTCAAGATCTTACTAAGTGCAAAGATTGTCCTATGCTGTATTTGTTTGCACTTTTTATTGAATGTCAGTGCCTCTAAATATAGTCTTGCTTTAAAAACTCTATTCATATAACAATCCACGTTTTTTTCATACACTGACATTCAATATCAGATTAGCGCCGTCATTTGTCATAATCCAAGATAATGATAGAATGCCTTTTACGGTAAACTTGGAAAAAAAAGCTAATACTTTGCTTCTCACACATACTGCTGTGTTATGTTGGGGGTATTCCTACCTTATTGTAGTACTGCACTTGTACAGAATGCCATTGTCCATCACTGACTCCTCCTTCAATGTAAGGACTGACTTTTGTAGTGCTTTCACCTGTGAACATGGAGACATTATACATTAGCGTTGTATAACATGCTGGTGCTATAAAGGATAATTCATCACTTAGCACAATGCTTTGTTAATGTCTTTATTACACATTAAGATTGTACATTACACTTCACTTAAGGGAATCACTCCCTATGAGTCAAAACACCACTGGACTGTACAGAGCTAGGTTCAAAAGTCTTAAAGTGCAAAAGAAGCCAAACGTTTTTGGAGAGGAATTAGAACATCTGTCAGGTTTTTTTTGTTATCAGTACAATGAAATTGTCACCAGAAGAGTAAATGGGGAATCATTAAATGGGGACACTTTTTCTGGTGACCCTGCTGACCACCAGGGATTTCCTCTCACTTCTTGTTGTGGCTATCGGACAGGAAGTGGAGGGAAATCTACCCAATGGGACACAGATGGCCAAAAAAAACCTGATGGGTTTAAACCTTCCCTTACTTTATCCGAAACTACAAAAATTGGGGCTTCAGTTCTAAAAAGGGCATGTACACTATGAAATATGCATTTGTAGCTGTCCTTGCAGCATATAAAAATTGGAAGTATGATAGGCTACTTTTTATGAAGGTAAAGTCACTCCCCCACACACTTTTTTATCCTATGCCCGCTCACCTATTTTGGAGGGTTCTCACCACAAATTATACTTACCTACCCAGCAATTCCAGCATTGTCCTGCTGTGATCCACTGCCACAGCAGGGTCCCACTGACGTAATATTTTTTTATTTTTCTCGGATATCATCAGGAGCCGGCTGTCTGTTTCAGGCTGCAGCTGTTCTCGTTTGCGTGTGGCCAAGTCAGCTGACCAGCCGCTGTGAGTCCCTGGTCCTGCAGCCTCCTGGGATATGTGATGTTCATATCACAGGACCAGGGACATGTCATTCTTGCCTAGGCCAGAGGACTGGGAAAAGGGGGGGGGGGGGGGTACCTGGGGTGTGAAGGCCCACTTTAACTTGCTTTCCTTTGATGTGATTTGACTTTCTAAGATAGCAGAGGACTTATTCAACAAGGAACTGCAAAAAACAATGATTGTGCTTCAAATACAGTAATCCATCAGAACTCATGTGTTACCGATGTTATCACAGCACTGTGCTCGTCATCAACGGCCTCTGAACTAACACTTCTGCATGAGCGAGAAGGGTGTGGCAACATAATATCAGCGGAAATGAGTAGACCAATTAATTCCTTCATAAGCATCTTCAGGCTTCTACCAGGTTAATAAATGTCAGTCATTAGCATAAAGTTATTATGTGACTTTAAGCCGAGCATTTTACTTGCCGAATATATGTATATCACACAAACCTGATATGCATGAAAACATAACTACTAAACATATAAATATATACTGTGCAAATACAAACCTAAATTGCCCACTTTAACTAACGTACACACGTGCCAATATTTTTGTTGTTGTATTGCTAAGCCAATGTATGTGTTAACTAGATTACCCATATATCCCTATAAATCATACATATACCATGCTAGCAGATATGGGACAGCAGGAACAAAATGCATTTAAAAAAAAAAAAGTTTCCTTTTGCACGCAACAGAATGCCCTGAAGAGATTGTCCAAATCAAATAGTTTAACTATGTTCTCCAGGTGAATAACTACTGCAAAACAAACATTTACTGAACCTTAGAAAAACAGGTAAATAAAGGCAAGGCTTTCTGAAAGTCAAACACATTCAGGCAGCCTCTCACTTGGGTTTTATATGATACACACCTGAGGGTGAGACACATTTACATGCTAAGATAACAAGCTCCGTCTTTTACTATCCACCATATACTATGTAAATTGAAGTGCGATAACTCGGCTCAAGTAAACTACAAAAGATGGAATATCACAAGTTGTATCAAACAGATTTGTTTACTGACATTTGTGAGTCTGACCATGCAAACCCGTTGTGTTCTTGCACCCAAACAGTATCAAACAGATTTGTTTACTGACATTTGTGAGTCTGACCATGCAAACCCGTTGTGTTCTTGCAACCAGGAACTACTGATAATGTGTCCAGAAACATGTGCTTCTACTGACATGACTTAAAATGCTTTTTTATCATTGACTCCTAAAACGAAGAAAGTACTACTAGAGAATTATATTATTTATATCTGCAGCCACGCTCCGGGGAAAACGCAACAAAACATGTAGGTGCAAATAGGGACTTACATTGGGCAGGGAAGGAGCTTAAACCTTAAAAATGCATTAAAGTACTCTAATCATTTACAAAAATGTAGCCTATTTATGATTCACTCGGCTGTAGATCTTCAAATCATCTCTGAATTAATGCTGACACTGCCCTTCCTTCTGGGGGGTGGCTGCTTTTGTTCGCCATGGTCCCTATGTGTGAAGCTTTGGCTACTTTACAACAAACCCAGGGTCCATGGGCAACAAAAGTAGCCACCCTCCAGAAGGAAGGACAGTGTCACCATGGATACAGAGATGATGTGAGGATCTACATACACAAATAAGCTACATTTTTCTTAATAGTTAGGGTACTTGAATGCATTTTTTAAGGTTTCACATCCGAGTTTAGTGTCACTTTAAGCTCCTTCCCAAAAGTAATGTAGACCTTTCACAAACCTGACCAATGTAAGTCCCTCTTTGCTATGATTAGGGCCCAGTTTGGGGGCTGAAACATGTAAGCATTTGTTTATTTGCTGCTTTTATGCCTTTTTGGAAATAAAGTATTGGATGGACGGATCCCCTTGTGAGTGCCTGTTTTTTACCTAGAAGTCCCTATTTGCGCCTGCATGTATTTTTGCGTTTCCCCCGAAGCGTGACAACACTCAACATGAGGCATCCCATTATTTTCAATAGTGCCTGTTCCCAACTGAGCTAAAGGAAGCACAAGATGAGACATACATAAGCAGAAGTTACATATCAAACAATTAGTAGATACAGGAACAGGTATCTAAGCAGATACGTTTTGTATAACTCTCAGGTTATCCTGTAAGGTCAAGTCAAGGTTGCTAAGGAACCCTAATGTTCACTTTAAAGGATCACCAGGGAGTCTTGGAAGGCAAATATGCTTGATGTGTATTTCCATTATTGCAGCCAAGCTTCAGAAAACCCCTTTATATGTTATGAGTTCCCATTCACACAGCATAATGAGAAATATATATTTTTAATATTTCTTACCTTTCTAGCTGTTTGTTTGGAGCAGAATCATGCATATGACACTAAAGAAAGCTTCTAGTAGTTAGAATTTTATAATTGAAATTAAAGTTATGTGAATAACTTTAACAAATATCATGTAACAAATATCATGTAACAAATATCATGTCGGTGTTATCCCAATTAGGCTGCAACAGTGAAAATACACTTAAAAAGGAGAACTATCAGGTGAGTGATTTTCACTTAAACTCATAGTTCGAGCCGATGTGTGACAATGAAACTGTCACAGGTCGGTTCTATAGATCGGAAAGTGAGCGAACGCACACGTCGCTCGCTCACTTTTCAATCATCTCACTGCAGAGAGCAGTGACTGTCAGCCACCGCTCCCTGCAGGGATTCCCCCCCTCCCCGCTCTGATCCTCCAGGGGTGACTGGAGGAACGGACGGGGAGGAGGCGGGCACAGCTGGCTCTGCCACTAGATAGGCAGAGCCAGCTGTCACTCACGCAGCTTGGTGCATCTCCACAGCATTGTCGGGATCTGTCCCGGCTGCGGCGCTCTAAGTATATCATGAGCAATAGCTCGCAATATACTGAGCTTTGGGTCATGGGAGGAGGTTAGTATATGTCCTCCCGTGACCCTAAAGAGAACTATGGGATAAAAAAGTTACCCCATAGTGCCCTTTTAAAGTACCAAAAAAAGGGAGATTTACATATAATTTCGGCTGTCTATATTTCTAGCTCTACTGATCATTCTGACAAGCAGTTTTCATTGAAGGTAACCTCTGCTTATTATTCCTTGAAATATATGATCAGTTTAAATTGTCCAGGCTTGTGCAGGTTTTAATTATACCTTATTCTTCTTGGTACAAGTACTCTAAATTGATATGCAAGTAGATAGGACAGAAGGAGGAGCATTTTGTTTCAAACGTTACAGATACGGCATTGAGCAGATTCTACACAAAGATAAATTATACAGCTTGAGTAACAAAAAAGGAGAGGGTGGTGGGGGGTATATTTTTGAGGGATCTACCAAGTATTCCCGATTCATCTGAATTGTGTATATACAAACTGTTGATTTTGCTCCACCCAGTATTCCACCTTCAAGGCCCTTTCAAGTTCTACACCTCCCACACAAGAAAGACTAAATCCAAACATGTGACTTGTGTCAGCTATGGGCTCCTGTAACAATGTATCCAGGCTTATTCTCACACACCCTTTATGGTAACAAGCTTTTAACTAATTCCAAGAAAGCGATGGGAGTCCTGGCTTAGACTTGAAATGCCAAAAAAATTAATTTACAGCCAGCAATAGATAAATGTGTCATATTATCCCTAGGGTCTTGCAAAACCAGACACAGCCAGACACAAGCTTCTACATGTTAAGCCGCCCATAAAGTATGATGCAAGCCACTCACAATACAATATGGCAGCACCTTCATAAAAAGGTAAAGAAAGCTTAGATAATCCCTAATAGTTGACAAAGAAATAGTATATCGAGAAGGCTTGTAGGTCGGTATAGAGCAGAGTGCAACAGAAAGCATGTTAAAAATATATATTAATTGGGTTTGCCAAGACTCGCAAAAGTGGGACGTCTGCAGTACCGCGTGTGGGAAACTCTCGCTCTATAATTATTACATTCGCAACGGCATTGCATGTAATTAAGAGCTATACTGACATGGCGTGGAATCATAAATTTGTCTAAATATTATGACGGAAAGCAGTAGAAGCAGAACAACTGAAATATAAACTGAGACCCAACTAAAAGAAAGATTAGCGCTGTTCTTCAAAGTAGCCCCTGTGTGAATGTACACACAACGTATAACAAAGGGAGTTACTATATTTACAGATCACTCAAAGGAATAGACGTTTACTACGCAGATGTCAAACATTGTTCATATTTAATGACAGCCTTTATCACAATGTGACCTACTCACTATGCAGTAGTCAAGAACAGTTACAAATACTGCAAAGCTGTAACGATATGGGTCACTACATGTATATAGTTACACAGATTGTGATGTTGCATAATGCAATTGTAATACAAAACATATTCACAAATACAGGTTTAAAAGGTATAAAATATTTTATACTTTAAAAATAAATGTAAAATATTTTGTATTTATATACAATCTAAAAACACACACAAGGGGTGTGCTTATTATAGCCATACACATCATTTTTTAAAATAAGTGCATGCATGTGTGTGAACAAATCTTATACGGTGTGTCCTTAGCCACAAACACCAAATGTGAGAATTCAGATGGTTTGAGTACAACAGTGCAAAATCATTTCGACTATTATCAGTCATTATACAGTTTCACACAGCCCCCACTAAGAGTTTGCTGTCAAAGTGAAACTCCAGACAAGCAGATTAATACACAGATGAAATGCAAATATGAGAATCAATATGCATGCCAAATAATTTGTAATTATATGCAGGCAGATTTGAAATCCCGGTACCCCTTCTAGACAACACATACAGATGCTCAACCTCTACTGCAACAGCCAAACAGCTTGTTGAAGAACAGTGGACCAAAACACATTTCAGCGTGCTGACTGGACAATGGAACGGTAGCACACTGATAAGGTTAATTTTCAGCAAACTCTGTGCTTTGCTTAGCATCCTCATTGCCTACTAATGTAGGTATCAGCACTTGTTCCATTAAATATTCATTTGATAATATTTTCATGAATATATGATTTAATTTATTGAGTGCAGCCTAAATAGGCTGTATATATTAAAGGCATATGGCTAGACTGTAAAGTAAAAAGCTACATAACAACCTGTACCATGTGTTTATTTAATCCTTACAGCCGGGCCATGTCACTTAGCAAGTGTGCTCGCAATATTTAGATAATAACTTACACATTGATGTAGTAAGCAAATTATGAGACGGGTCATGCAGAGAGCAGCAGTACTTAAGCATAACATCACTGACACCCTCATGTATTAACAATGATATTTAATATACAGACTCCAGCTTTGCTGACTAACAAAGACCTGCCTTCCCACGCAACACAAAGTACAGGCAGAAGCAGAAAAAGACTAAAAACATTTAAAACACATTATATATATATATATATATATATATATTGTAACAAGGACACTTATGTATTCTTAACGGATTTCAGCGGCTACTTAGGTATATGGCACTTATATAGCCCAATCTGCTGTTAATTGCCGTTTTAACTTTTAACATAGTAAAGCAGCTGAATCTGATCATAATAGCTTTAATTGTAGAACTGAAATAAAGCTGAATTTGTCATTGACTCTCTAAATTCTCAGTGACTGTTTATTGTTAATAATCATTATAATTGTGTAGCTTGGATCCTGTTAGGAAGCTCTAGTTTTATTTCCTTTTACCATTGTATTACAAAATATTATATGGCAATGGGGTTTTAGGGATATTGTTAAAGCCGGGAATTTCAAACTCAAACAAAAATCCCCTTTGTACAAATAGTTCCATATTTGCAGATTTACCACTGTAAACATGATTGACTGGCAACGTAAAAAATAAAAAACACCAGATAAAAAAAGAAAAAAAACAAAGAAAAGCAAGTGGAAGTAGTAAAATAAAAATGTAATTGTTGCTTTTCTGTAAAACAAAAATTCAGATAGATATACAAAATGAAAGATCTGTAATTGTAAAATTAACACTGTATCTCAATAATAATATTGTTTGTGGTGTACTAAATGTATCATTTAAATTTAGGACTCTCGGCTTTAGCAATATCCATTGTGAAATCATTGTGAAATGATATTCCATCTCATACTTGCATTATTCTTGTTCAATACATAAAAGGGCAAAGCTCCTGAAAATGGCACTGTCCCCACAGTAGCCATACAAACATTTGCTGTCAATTTTAAAGTCCTCAGTAAAAATGACAGCATTATCATTTGCTGAGGGTCCCCAGGTTGCAGGGGGTCCCCATAAAACAGAAAAAGTCAGTTGGAAGTAGAATTTATGCAGCAAATCTTCAACACATAAAGCACACAATCATATAACGTGCTGTAATGAAGTGTTCATGTACCTGCTGAGAAAGTCAGTTGGATTTGCTCCTCAATAATTTCCAGTGCAATGAAGTCATGCTTTTCATTAAACCTGCCATTGTAAAGTATCAGTGCATTCCGCTCCCTGGTAGCAAACCTGCAACACAAAGACCAGCACATTCTTTACATCTAATGACACAGTAAAGGGTCAAAAGTCAGACAGTCCGGAACAAAAAAGAAATGATACAAACGTGTCAGTTTCACAAAACCAGAGACCTTTATTACCACAGGAGGAGTATAATGTATCTACACGCACAAAAGCAGTAAGCAGCTGAAAAACTAGTAAGATTCACAGAAATTCATACATTTCTACATCGGCGTTACAAATCCTACAGTCATTTGTAATGTGAATCTGGCATCTTCATCAACATTTAAAAGTAAGGGCCCCTACACACCACAACTCAGTGTGCTGAAATGCACATGTTATCGTGCACAAGGCGCATTGCATCAGTTCATTTATTTTTAATGGGCTTAACACAAGAATAACAATGATTTTATAAAAACAATGCACTGCAAGTCACAAAGAATCTGCATCTGTGTGTTGTTGTGTGCTATAGCGAAGGTTCGTTGCAGACTGCGTACTAGGGTGCTACTGATGATAAATGGCAATGCAGCTCAACCAACATATAGAGTGCACTGCTTTGATTTTCTGTAACCCCCACCGTGGTATGGACTAGCTCTACAATTCTTACCCAAGGTACACTGATAGCAGCCTGTTGCTGACTTTATTAGCCAGAAACCCTCTATATCATGTACTTCTCTAAAACTAGATTCACTTTACTGTTACTAGGTGCCTGATTTCAGTACTTCGAAAGATATGTTGTCCACAAACCAATCTGCTTCAGAATGTCATCTTTATTCATGTACTTGTAGCATAATATAAGTCAATGCAATGTTTCTGTACCTCACAAGGTCCATTCCTCAGGCAAATAGTGATCCTGTGCAGTCCCAAAATGTTGCATTGACTTATATTATGCTACAAGAACGTTAATAAAAACCACATTCTGAAGCAGATTATTGTGCGGACAACGTATCTTTCAGAGTAAGGTGCCCACCAAATGTTGTTGAATCACCCAAGGGTTTGAACAGAAGGATTTTATCTGTACGAAGTGCGGTGGGGATAATTCTATTGTTGACCTTCAGTACTTGGCACAACCAACTGCCATTCCCCTGTCCACTAAGGGGAGGGCCTTGCTGACCAGAGAGACAGTCTCAGTCAAAGGTTTTCTGAGATGATAGCAATCATTAACAAGATTGGAGCAGATGGAATCTAGAGCAGGTGCTCATGGCAACCAATCAGCTTCAATATTTTATTTTCAAAGCTTAACTGAACAAGTTGAAGATAGAAGTTGATTGGTTACTATGCACAGCTCCAGATTCTGTTTTACACTGTGGGGGTCTGCTCTTAGGCAGGACTTTGGATTATAGTTGCCATGGTGCTGCACATGTGATCATCTATGACACCTGCCATTTGAAGGCTTGAAACCTGGAATGGGCACACTGACAACCTTGACATTTGACCTGTCTTTAAAGTAACTGTTCCGGGAGACATTAAATTGGTGGGAAAAAATTCCTCTTTAACTTGGTGAAGAGAATCTCTGTGAAGGCTCAGATTACCAGCCCAGAAGCATTGCTTAGAAATCCCACAGGAATTGCTATTCGTTGATTTGTTTATTTGAACTCCAGGAGCCACAAATGCTAATATTTTGACTAAACTGGTTAGGCTCTCATGAGGATCCATGGCAGGTGTGGAAAACATCTTACACATTGCCAGAGGTTTTTCTAGGATTCTAAAAGAGCCAAGGACTACAAAGCATCAACAAAGCACCAATAAAGCACCAATAAGTTGTGACATACCAACTGTATACATTGTTTTAAAAGGTGTAACTATCCCCCAACACCAGCATTGAAAACACCTCTAGATAAATTGCAATATACCCAACCTTCAGAATGGCATAAACCAGTTTTACAATATTTGCGAATGGCAATGACATAAGTACATTATTCAACACCTGCAATGTGATAAAACGTCCTAGTAGTGTTAATATATCCCTCGGCCATCAATCCAACTCCTCCCCTTGAGCACTAAAATAAATCCATGCACCTTCTCATAACCATGTGTGTTCCCTCAACTTCAAACTGTAGATAAGCAGGTTAAATTTCCAGTGTGCTTACTGGCGGAGAAATGCATAATAATGTTGGTTATTACACTACAAATGATATTTTCCATAATATAGCAATTTTACTATAATGCCCACATAACACACATTCCAGTCATCCCATAAAACTGGCAGAATGGTTTGACTTGGATAAGATTCTAAAAGTAATCTGTCATTCATTTTGGACATTTAAACGTTCAGACTAAAAGCAGATACCACAGAATGCACGCTCTTTGCCTCTATAGGCCAGAAATCCTCCCTTTGTGTTTGCACCTATGAAACTAGTTACTAGGCCTGATTTTAGGACTAAGTTCCATCAACCACCATATCCACCAATAACAGGGCCCTTATAAGTAACAGTAGTTAATGGGGTTAAATCGACGCTCGATTTCAACTGCAACGATGAAAAGAAAATTGAGGGAGCAGAGGAGAATTTTGTTTGTTCTAGAAACATTTCCAACAGTGAATGTGGTTTGTGATAAACTCTAATTATTTCCAAAATTGAAAGTTAAAATTGAACAAAGTTTGAACAACGTTCTACAAGTCTCTGATGGAATTATCGAATGTTCTGACCAGATTTTTCATATAAAAGTTTGTTCGTATGGCCAGTTTATGAGTTGGGTGATTAACAAACAAATGCCTGTTGGCCTATATATAACTATGTAAATTGTAACTTATTTTAACTCAGCATAGTCGTCCAATAATCATACTTACATGAGAGAAATAGTGAAATGGAAACGCTGTCTTAATCCTTTGTAAGTAACAAAGGACTGCGGGGGAAAGCTTCTAGTGGTCATTTCGCAGTATGGCTTCTCAAACTCTCCTGGGGCACACTTGCACGTAAAACCACCAATAAGGAGATTAATGCACGTGCCACCATTTTTGCAGACCCCTGGTACACAGCGTCCAGAACGTGAACTCACGTCGCAGTTTTCTCCTATAAGACAAGAACATAAAATAATTAATTATACTATTACACAAACCTGTATCTTTCAAGAAATATAGCATTAATTTTGTCTATGGCCTATGAATGTGAACTAATGACTTCAGAGGTGTCAATAGCCTTGGATGCTGAGTGACTAGGATAGAAGATTTAGTGGTTTGATTCTTGCATCAGCATATGTATGTGACTTGCTTCTACTCCATGCCAACCATATCTGTCAAGAAAATCTGTTGCAGATCAAGCTACTCTCAGGTGAAAGGGATACATGCTTTGTCTGCACGTGTGGGGAACCATCTTAAGGGTGGCAATACTTGTGCAGATGGCTTAATGGGAACTGCATGTGATCAAAAATTAGCTTACAGTCCTCATATTCGCTACATTGCAATACTCACCACAACTTTTCTACCTGGTGTAAAACTCAAATAGGTAAAGTCACAAAGACACAACTCTAATAATGCATCACTGAACTCAAAAAACGGTCTTTAGTGTTTGAGATTTTACAGAAGCTTCTTTTGAGTTTCTATAGGAATATATTTAAGAATGTTTTCTTTCTGGTATTATGGTATAATGATAAAAAAAAAAAAGACATGGTTGACCCCTTGACACCTGTAAAATTGGGGTCCACCATTGATGTGACATTTTTAGAGATTTTCCTTTGAAATAGCTAACTCCGGCATCATATAAAGCTTACATTTGACCAATGTAAATCAAACAGAACAGGAGGGGAGATCTGCACTTTGCTGTTTTACTTACATAGTATACACTGTAGCATGTAGTCTACACAAAAGAATAGCTTGCAGAATTCATGGTAAGAAATCTCTATTTTGTCTACAATTAAGATCTGCCAATAATAATATTATTTTTATTGTTTCTCCAATTAATGATTCCGAGAGCCTGAGACAAATGTTTCAAGCACAATTAGAGACAGCTTTTTCAGTTTCCAATGCAGCTGCAGAATCTCAAACTATTGCCCCTCTTTCAACATTTGACAGTGCTAAAGCTAAGAACCACCTCTATACAAATACTCGCTGAAAAGGAAGTTTTAACCTTGTAACTGTTTCATTTGTTCATCACTGATGACTGTATTTTTCAGTTATTGGCAAGGCAAATCAAATCTCTGGTGCTCCTGTTTTGTGTGGGTTAGAACACAGTTGATTACTGAACATGATTTTTGTTTGCGATAACTCAACTTTCAGGACAAGATTTGTACAGTCTATCCCCTTCTTCTAGGTCTGGTTAAGTCCAGAAGTAATGCTTGGACCTTGAAGAAGTGGGAAACCCCCAAAGTTTGTACTGAAAGTTGTTAATTCAAAAAAAAAATTAAAATCACGAACAATACTCAACTGTGTTGTTGCAAGTGCACGAATATGGATACAATTACCTAAAGTATTAGAGTTGGAAGAAATCTGAAAAGCGTGTAAACATGTTCTGTGCCAGTAAATGGTGGGTCTTAGCAATGCCTAGCTACATTCCCTTTATTTATTAGCTATATATTCGTGTGTGTCATTAAGCCAAAACTGTACACAAATGTTGAATTAAAATGTATTATAAGTATTTTTTATTAACATCTTAATTAAAAAACAGCAGCACTTATTTGGCTGATCTAAGAACACCTCCCTACTCTTAATGTCTCAGAACTGATTTTTAATTGGCTTCCTTATCTTACACCCCTGCACTTTCACAAGGTTTCTGCATAAGCTTAACAGCATTTCGTTTTCCGATACAAGAAAAGATCAATGTTTAAATAGAACGAATCACTGTTTTTTATTTTATGCCCTGTTTCTACAAGATGTTCTTGAGCAGGGATGAGCTTCGGGTTCGGGTTGAACATGAGTTCAACCCAAACCCAGCCCGGTCACAATTAAGCAAATTAACAAATAACCTGCCTGCGGGTTTGTCTGCTTAAAATCTTGCAAAATGACCATTAAAAAGCCAGAAAAATAAGATTTGGTTCCCATAAACTTTAATAGGGTTTGGGGTTAGCAGGCTTTTTGCTGGGTTTGGTGACCCTCCTGTGAACCAAACTTTGCATGGTAAAATAATTACTATTTCTGGATAAATAGCGATTTAATAATATAGGGGGGGAAAGTATATACCTGTCTGGACAATTATAGTATAAATATAGTACTTTGCTAAAGATAAGGTAATGCAAATTGCCTGTGTTTAGCGTTTATCTTTTTTTACTATAATGTCAGCCATTAACCTATTCAATTACCATAATGAAAGTTCAGCCGAGAAACCCCCAGAAACAGGCAGTTTGGGCTCCTTTCAAGGTATAATACATGTCATTAGAGCACATGGCTCAAGACAGCAGTTCAGCTAGAAAATTACTGATGTATTTGGCTTACAGTGACTAATTCCTTTACTAGAAGATGTCCCTGGGCAAATTCAAAGAAATAAAGGAGGAAGATTGGTCAAGATGTCATCTTTACAAATGGAAGGAAGGAAAACAAAACTGCTCACTATAGTAACACTTATCAGTCTCAGACCAGAGTGCTCAGGTATCTCCATTTCTCATACCTTCTGCCCCCAAGCAGTTTATATTTAGCACACTGATGAATTGTGGAAACTAGCAGTCACCGTCACCTTTGTCTTGTGATGAGCCTGGGACAGAGTACAAATAAGGATTTATGTCAACCATATAAAAGCCATCCCAGAAGCCTTGTCACAGGGTAACTGGCAGTGCTTTAGAGCAATCTCTTGCAGAGGCACATTGTCCCTTAAGACATGAAAAAACTTAAGTAACAGGTGAGAGGTACACCACAAGTAAACATCCTCAGGTAATGTCTCCGCTGTAAGCAGACACACTTTAATTGCTATATATATAAAACCACAAATTGCGGAATAGACACAATGCCATTCAGGGAACGCCAGTGTCATTTTAAAGTAACACTAAACTCAGAAGTGAAATCTTAAAAATGCATTCAAGTACCTTAACTGTTAACAAAAATTTAATCAAATCATCGCTGAATTGGTGCTGACACTGTCCTTCCTTCTGCAGGGTGGGTACTTTTGTTCCCCATGTGCCCTGTGTGTGTTGTAAAGTAGCCACCTCTCCAAACCCACTCCCATGATGGGACTAATCTCATGTTTAGTTTACTAATTCGTATTGAGATTGTAGTGAGCTTGGAGCGGTTGCTACTTAACAACACTCACAGGGACCATGAGGAACAAAAGTAGCCACCCTCCAGAAGGAAGGGCAGTGTTGGCCTTAATTCAGAAATTATTTGAGGATCTACAGCCGAGTAATACGATTTAAAAAAAAACTACATTTTTGTTAATAGTTAAGATTTAACTCCTGATAATACACCCCCGCATAATTATCTTTGCATGATGTAAAAGAGCGAGTAATCACCATTCCAAAAATGTATACTGTAAAATGTAAATAGTACATGTATGCTAAAATTTGTCCTGGTTTCGGCTCACGTGACCAAAGCAACAATATAGCTCATGTGGATGGCAAAACATTTGTTACATCAGCGGGTCAGTTGCATTAAAGAGAGCTGTTGTGTCTCACAAGGTCTTCTACCTAGGTATGTGTGACTGTTCTCTTTGGACTTATATGTGTGCATGTACCATGCATGCTATTAATTATGTATTGCCATTGCAGTGTAAAAACAACAGCCCTTATCTGGAAGCTGCTTAATCTCTTGAGACTTTATAGTAGTAAATAAATCCTGACATAGAAACATCAGGAAGAGAAGACTGCAGGCACATTCATAGGAGAGGCAGCACTTTGGTATTTAGGTAAATATGTTAGGGAGCATTTAACCTCCCTGGCGGTATGATTATGTCAGGAATTTTGTACCAAAAGCAGTACAATAGTTTGATACATAAGTGTAAACATAGGAGATTACATTGTATTGTGTGTATTCTATGTACATTACAACTTTTCACTTTTGAATTTCCCGCCTGCTGTGACGCCCGAAAACTAAACTAAAAGTCAGATGCAGGCTTTTAGTTTCATTTTCGGGCCGCGTACGGCAGAGGACGCCGCGGGCTCGCAGGGACAAGGTGAGTGTCACTTTTCTCTGCAGCCCCGAGTCTGGCTCGGGGTTACCGCTCCTAGCATTGAAAATTCACCCCGAGCCAGACTCGGGATTACCGCCAGTAAGGTTAAGAGACTTTCTGCCTTATTCAGGAAGAGATTGTTTTCTTAAAGGGAACCTATACTCCCATTTCAAATTTTTGAAAGCAAAGGTCTTGCCAATCAGCTGACACCAGCTGCCCAGTATTACATTAGCTAGAAAAAAAAAAATACGTGCCCATCTCGAATTAAGTTTCACTTTGTCGATATTCCACTATCCAATGACACGGCCTCATAGTCCGCGAAACGCACTTTCAATGGATAGGGGAATTGTAGTCGGTGGAGGTTGGCCATAAGGTCAGGGGCTGTCAAGTCGCCATAACAAAGTAAAACCAAATCACAGAGGGGCAAAGCCTAGGCTGGTAATATAAGGTATGTTGTGGGGTTTGTTCTAAGGAATTCATTTTAGTTTTAAATAGTTTTAAATGGGGTACATGTTCACTTTAAGCACACATTCTAAAGTGCAGTAACTCAATGCAACCAAGTAAAAATCCATATTGGAAATGTTTGACCTCAGCAGAGCAAACTGTGAATAGGTTAATGTACATATATTAGCATTTTAAAACAAAGCATACAGGTAACTGTTTTTTTTGCCATGAAATATCAACTTTCATTTTATACAGGAAATGTCACAGGTCCCCAAAAGTGTTCAAAGCTGTGAGATGTTACTATTGAATGTTGGGAATTCGTTCATGTAGCATACTACACAGACCTGCGCTTTAACTTTTGTAATCAAATTTTGTTGAAAAAGCAGTGGTGGGAGATCCATGCTCAAGGTTTACCCCTGGGACCAGTACTGAAAGCCAGGAATGGGTGACTACTGATGGTACAACAAGTTATGATTCCTATGAGTAATGGCTATGCTCATATAGAAACTTTAAAAAGATGTAAAGTCATTAAGCTGAATATGAGTTCATTAACCATAACAAATTTTCTTGTCATGAGGTTCAAAAATGCTTACCTAACACATTTGAGAAATATAGCATTTTAGGTACCAAAACGGGACAAGAAGACTGATTAAACTGTAGTCTTGTTACAAAAAAATGCATGTTGTGGATCAGTTTACTCAGTGTTAGTAACACAAGACTGCCAAGATAGGATAACTTTCAACATGTATAAATTACTAATAATTGCAGTAGGTCTGGTAAGGTACTTCAAAGTATTGGAAGGAAGAATGGTGACATTAGGCTATGATTATCCCCGGGAGGAAATGGATCAGATATTTTTTAATGTTTGGCTATGAGCTGAGAATTGTGAACTAAACTATTTCTCTGTCGTGTTCCATCATCAGTCCTTAGTAAGACTTATGATAAGAATGACAGATTGTAACATTTTGCAGTTACATATTTCCAAAATGTTGCCTGATGAGTAAATGGAATAGAGGGAGTCCAGAGACTGACTCTGCATTCCATCCAGCATTACCACGCCAACCAGAATGATTCAACTTCAGCTTCATTCACTGGATGAACAATGGTTCACATTAACATGCACTAAGTGGCTGCAACCACAGTTACAGATAACAACTGTTACAGCATTCATTTTCAGAATACTGAAAGTCATGGCGAAAACTATTTTTAATTAACAAACGCACAGACAGCCATGACTGAGGTTCTTACCCAATAAAGAGATTTTTAAAAAAAGGAGTTACTAGCGATATAACAATTTAAAAAAAATATATAAATCAAATATATGGTTCAATTTATATACGCCAGTGGGAAAATAATGAAAAACCAAGTGACGTACCACATGCAACTCAGATTATAATTCATATTTTACTAATATAAAAAGCTTATTGGTAGCTATGGGTTATTGAACTTATTGAACTATAAAAAAAAAAAAAGATTTTACAAACAATAGAAAGCCCCTCTACTTTTTTAGTAAGTAGAGGGGCACCCAATCAGATTTTAGTTTACTGCAGTCTGGTCAGTTAGATGACTTTTGATTGGTTTCTATTGCTATTGCATTTTCCAAAATCTATTCTCTTTGTGCAACCTTACCAAATAAACATAAAATATAATTAAAAGTAAAATAAAACGGGTATATTAGCCAGTAATTTACAGTAAGATACATTATATGCCTATTTATTGACACAGTAGAGAAAGTAATGGTGGGTAGTAAACCGCACAAACCAAAGTGTCCCATCCTAAGCTGCTTTCAGTATGTATAATGTATATTATTTAATATTTCCATTGACATACCTGTGTATTCTTCATTGCACTCGCAAGAATATCCACCTTCCCTACTTCGACACAGCCCATTCTTGCCACAAGGGTTGGAGTAACAGAGGTCAATCTCTGTTTCACAATAGTCCCCAGTAAATCCAGGGGGGCAGCGGCAGCGTAATCCATTGATTGGATGAATAGGTCGGAAAAGCACTGTATTAGAAGTTATGAAAGGTGCGGAGCTATCAAACTTTAGCACCGATACACATTTCATGTAATTCTCACAAGGTTCCCTGAGACATATATTATCATCAAATGGCAGAACACGTTGGGTGGAAATCATGGTGAGCAGGGTCCTGTTCAGATAAATTTGTTCTTGTAAATCCTCAGAATGGAAGAACTTGTTGCGGACTCCTCCAGGTAGTAGGGCAGAGAATGTCACATTCAGGATGTTGGAGCTTACATCCGTATCATTCTGAATATTAAAGACAAAAATGCCCTCCTTGGTAGTAGACAGCACAGTTGCCACCCCTTCCACAAACCGAGATAGAAGCGGAGATAGAAACTTCTCCTGGGACATATTTTCCAATCGGACGGTGATGCTATTGGTCAGCATGTCATCTGTGATGATGGTAACACGTAGAGTGCAGTGAGCAGTAACACTATGAATACCATCTGTAGAATGAAGAGAAAAGACAAAATATGAGTATAATATAAACAATTCATGGTATATCTCAGCAATATGGCAACCAGATTACTTCCCCCCTAAACATATTTAGAAATTGCGAAGCAAACATGTCTAAGGTTTTTTTTCAGTAAACACAATGAACATGCATTAATTCCGTAAAACAATTATACTTTCTACTAGGGATGTTCAGATACCAAGTACCGTACTCGGTACAAGTACAGATACTTTTCCAGCTCTAAGACTAGACTAGAGAAAAACTCAAAAGTTAAGAGGAAGCTGTCATTTTTAAGGAGCATACAGGGCTCCTGGGATTTGTGCATCCCTGTTTTAATGTAAATATTTTCCAGCTGCAACTGCTGCGACCCTGGTAGTTCTCATGAAAATGCCAAGTATCGGCACAAGTATCTGAACATCTCTACTTTCTACATATACCCCCCATCAGTTGTCATTTTGCAAGTAAAAAAAATAATATGGGTCATTAAAAAAAGAACTCTTGGCATAACTATTCTTAACCCTTGCAGTGGGGCTACCCCTACACTGCAAGGGTTAAGAAAATGTATTCTCAGAGTTCTTTTTTAAGTGCTCATTCAGACGAGTGGACGGATGTGCAGATTCGAGTGTGCATGTGACCATGTGTAATTATGAGCAGCCGCATCCTCCCATAGGGAACAGATTGCTGCGTGCAAATACACACCCCACGTGTCCCTTCTGGAATCTGGTCTTTTTACAGGTGTGCACACCCGTCTGAATGATCCCTAAGTAAAACCAACCAATTAGCTGCAGTCGCAGCCCGCCACTGTCAGAATACATTAGTAGCAGCGGGAGATTCGCACATCCACATTCATTTGCATGGATGGAGGAATATGTTAGATTATTGTTTTTAGCCCGTAGGCTGAAGGAAAAAAAATCTAACAGTGTATGGCTAGCTTTAGGTAGTGTCGGGATAAACTTCCCTGAAAAAATTAGCTGTTAGGGTTTGCCCAAAGGCAGACAGAAGAGGAGATAACTAAAGAGACTACAGTTGTGAGTTACAGAGGATGGGAGAGGCTCTAGAGAAGTTCTGGAGGTAGATATGAGAGGAAGTGATGAGGGAGCTAGAGAGCAGGGGATTTTGGGAGGAACAAAGAGGAGAGGTTGGGTGATATCTGTATAAATGCTATAAAATGCAGCATAAAAACAAAAAGGACTAAAGGTAATTAGGCTTTAACTGTTTACCTTTGGTTATGTCTATACCATATCACAAAAAACCTCGATGAAGCCACATATGTGGCAAAACATGTTGGGTAAAAAAAAAAGATATGCTTTATAACAAAAAGTAAGGAAGAAATTTAGTCTTTATGCCCCATCGAAACCACTATAGAAATGATGGTGGTGGTGTGAAGATTAACAAATTATCTAATAGATATAGAAGGAGATGTGAATATTTTTGAAGTGGGTACATTGATCATTCTTTCTACATAAAATGTCTATGATATGACATTATGCCAGCATAAAACCTAAGTTCCTGAAATGAAAACAAGAGCTAATGTCTAGTAATTTTTTGGATATATTTTTTACAATGTTTAGTACAACAGATAAAGTGAAGTGACAAATGGCAACACTCTCTAATCCAAGAGAATCAAAATGAAATGTTGTGGTGTTCTCTAAACAGGAGGCTGCTACACAACTCGCTGGTAAGAGAATTCATAACATGTTATGACTAAATAGACCCCAAAGCAGAATTCCAAACTTAAGACACACCAGAAAGGGCACCTCCAAAGAGCATACAAGGAAAACTAACCTACTAAGTTTATCCTTACTACTAAAGGACAGAGGAGTGATTTTACATAAGACATATATATGTTTAAAACAGCCCTGATTTTACTTTAAAGATCCAAATAGGTTCAGGAAAAAAAAAAATATTTTTTACTCTACATTTCTCCTTAATAGAAATGCATCAGAAGCAAATTAATGAGGGTGAAGAATCAACAAATCTAAAGCAGACTACTAATACAGTTATAAAAGAAACATTTATAATATAACGTGAATACAAACAGTTAAAAAATAATTCATTGGAAATATTTAAGTTATAATAAAGAACATATTTTTTCAATGGCTCTCATGCTTTCTCAATCTTAAACGTTTGTTTTAGTTGTGGATAGGAAATTGATATCAGCATTATATTCCTAATATCAGCCCCTGTAATTCCTCATGACGGACCTCATTACACAACACTAAAAACAATGTAAAGAATAATACAAAGGGAACCGGCTGGGGAATGTGATCCCTGAAAGATATATGTACAAGTTAGTGGAATCAATGTTTCTGCGATTTCTGAATGTATTTTATTGATGGCTAACTAGCTGTCATCTTATCTTTACAGCAATACAATTTACAGTGGGTTAGTAGCCTCTGCAATAAACAGCCGCACTTAGCAGCATCGTCAACTATCTTGGCTCATCCTTCCCTCCTCCATTTACTGGCTCCAGATAAAATCATAGTAATCGCCGCTTTTCAACATCTATTCCATTAGCAAATCATATCCATATATCTTCCTTTATTTCTTAAGAGTGGTCTGGGGAATACACAAGTATGTCTAATACATGTTTTCTGGTAATCCGAATGTATGGTATGGTCATGTGAATTTGGAGAAGGTGCTTGCTAAAAAAAACCAAAAAAGACCCCCATAACTATGAAAATGGCAAATAACTTACAAAAGTGTAAAATGAATCCAGCCAAAACATTTATTGTAGTTGTGGATGGACAAAGGATTAAACATATTCGCACTATTCCCATAATTAAATTTTGTTTTTTTTATCAGGAGTTCCACATCATTCTAAGTCCACAATAACTGCCAGAACAACTCTGAACGTCTAGTTCAGTTGAACTCCAATGAAGCTAAAGATGTTCTCAACATGAAAACATGGAAATCATATACACTTTACATTTTCTTATAACAAAATCACGTTGAAAAATGATTCTAATACAAGTTGTTTCCATACTCTGAATATTTTTGTTTCCACTCTACATCCATTAAAACAGTTTCCTGTTTTTCATAAACCTATGCTATTTAGGTTTTGTTTTTAACATGTTACATTGCACAACAAGTTAAGGGGGGCATGTTGTATATCTATCCAACCATTATCTGTGATCAACTCTGCTCCTCTCAGCAGGTGCCTTCGAGCCTATTGACAAAATGCTTCACAAACCATAATCGGCTTATCATAGCCAAACAATACCCAAACATCTTTTGTTTGAACTGGCCAGTGACATTTATGTCATCAGCATGAAGGTGCATACCACATTACAAAAGAGTGGGGGAAAACATTGTTAGCTTTGGAAACCTGCCACTAAAACTGTGCATAACACCTCCATGAAGAGACGCATGTATTTCCTGTTTCCAAACAAGCCTGATATTACCATCATTATTATTGCAGAGAATGTTATGTGCCATAAAGTGGTCCGTTTAAGGTCTACGTACACTAGAACGCCGACATCTAATGAATCATATCCATTAAACTGAATTGATTCTTCCTAATAACGGTCACTTGGATATATGAACAGGCCATGCACAGCCCACAAATGTTGCCTAGATGGATATATTTTTGAGTGTAAGCTTTTGTAAGCACTCTGTTTTCTTCTGTCAGGCATGTAAGAAACAATTTCTGAAGAAAAAAAATCTTACCCCCCAAAATATATTCAGTTAGACAAAGAAAGGTATCACCTACATTGCTACTCTTCTGGTGCCATCTATGGATTCTCGGTCAGCTTCATGACAACCACAAAAAATACTCTGTGAGGGACATACGAATAGAGGAGCACGCTGCCAGAAACATGCTAAGTACTAGGGACTCTCTCACTGGGACATGCTGAACACACTGAGCAATGCTAGGGATCTGTGGAGGACATGCTGAGGACCATAGGCATACTGGCAAGGAAATATTATGGACACTGGACATAATCTACTAGGGGCTTACTAAGTGAACTGAGTTTTCTGGCAAGGACATACTGAAGACAATAAGCGCATACTGTTTGGGACATGCTGAGCACATTAAATATTCTGCCAGGGACATACTATACACAATGGATACTCTACCAAGGACCTGTTATGTGAACTGAGTTTTCTGGCACGGACATACTGAACACAATAGGCATACTGTTTGGGACATGCTGAGCACATTGACTACTTTGGGACTGGGACATGCTATGCTCTAGTTTTACTTTTCATCTATTAAATACACTTTTGCAACTAAGAGTATTTACTATAATGGGCCATCCATGGAGTAATTATTCCACATTTGGAAAAGCCTCCCTTGTATGTACAGTATACAACTTTATATGTATACAGATAAAGATGGTGGCCACATATAACCCACACAGCTGTACTTATTACAAGTCTAAAAATGCCATTCCTACATAGTCACTATAAATATCTAAGAGTTTAAAAGAACACAAAAGTCACAACAGGTCAATAACTCATCATATTGCAATCACTTTGAGCACTGTGATGCTCTTTGTAAGTAAAAATTTTAGAAATGTCACTATGTACTTATGTGTATCAATCATGAGACACAGAAATGGAATACAGATATCCAGACAAGTGGAGCAAGATCAAACAGAAGTTAAAGCTGGGTTCCATGCAAATGGATAAATGCACCATTAAAATACATATAAGGGATTTTATCTGTGAAATTATTGTATTACTGTCTGAACAGTCCTGACAATTTCACAGTCTACTGCAGTTAGGCAACACAGCTTGGTCACCACCCAGCCCCCTGCCTGTGATTGGACTGTGAAGGAGCAGCAGCATGACTAATAAGGTCACCTCTCTGTTCTCTTATCTTTGTCAGCACTGTGTACTAATTTGGCCGCCAGATGATTTGGAATTCTGCTAAGCCAATCATGTGATTTCATCACATTTCCAAGCAGCATAACCAGGTCAGTGACCCTACTTTTCTTGACTGCTGTTCAGCAATACAGGTTTATCAAAGACCCATCCTCCAGCTTG